GGAGCGGTTATGTTAGTATCAGACACATTAACCTTTTAAAAAAATACTACTAGAGAAAAGGAGGAACAAATGAGGAAGATCTGACAACTCCTAACAAGAGAGATCAAAAGCATAAAAAGCAAAAATAACAGAACTGAAGGAAAAATAAGGCAATTCAACAAAAATGGCTCTAAGCTTCAATATCTCACTCTCAATAAATGAAAGAACAACCAGAAAAAAAAAAATCAAGGATATAGATAATTTGAATGATAGTTCATCTTTACCTAACTGACACTTCGAGAACACTCCATCAAATGACAACAGACCATAAATTATTTTCAAGTCCACATGGAACATTCTCCAAGATTGACCACATGATAACTTTAAACAGTGATGAGAGGAAAATGTAAAGCTTTGAGTGGTCTTGGTAGGAAAAAAGGCCTCAAAACAACAATCTGAGATCCCACCGTAACAACGAACAAAAGGGGAAAAAAAATAAACCCAGAGTAGAAAAAAGAAATAATGAAGAAACAAAATCATCACAAAAGAGAAAGAATAGGGCAAAACAGTGAAACACAAGTAATTCTTTAAGAGAATAATAATAATAATAATAACAAAAGACAAATCTTTAGCTAGATAGAAGATGAAAGAGAGAGAGACAATATAAACAATCAGACACAGGAACGAAAGACGGAGCAGTATTATGAACAACCTTACGCCAGCAAATCAGACAATTCACATGAAATGAGCAAATCCAAGAAAGACATAAATTCCCAAAATTACTTTTTAAAAAACAGAAAATCTGAAAAGAACTACAAGAAGCCAATGAATTAGCAGTTAAAAATATTTCCAACAAGAAAAGCTGAGACTCAGGTAACAGCAATGGTGAATTCTATCAGATATTTAAAGAAAAAATAACACCAGTCCTTCGCAAGTTCTTGAGAAAACAAAGGAGGAGGAAATACTTTTCAGCTCATTCTCCAAGGCCAGACAACATATCACAATAAATAAATAAATAAATACTGCACACTAATATCCTGCATGACTCCTGATGTAAAAACTCTTCACGTTTGTACATGAAACCTAATGACATATAAAAACGAACTGATTCCAACTCAAGGTGATCAACCCCAGGTACATTAGAGGAGAACCGGGCTCCACAGCATTTTCAATGGCTGATTTTTCAGAACTGTGCTGCCTCCCCTTTCTTCTGAGGGGTGTCTAGGCAGACTTGAACCTCCAACCTTTTGGTTATCAGCTAAGAACATTAACCATGAGCACCATTCAGGGAAAGGTTACACACCACGACCAGGTAACATCTGCCCTAGGAAATCAAGGCTGATTTGATACCTGAAAATCACTCAGTGCAGTACACTGTTACTAAGGAATAAAGGAGAAAAACCACATGATCATCTCAAAAGACAGAAAACTATAACAAACTCTCAAGAAATGGAACTGAAAGGAAATTATTCAACTTGATAAAGGATATCAATGTAAAATCTGTAGTTAACCTCATATTTAATGGTGAAAACTGACTGTGTTCCTCCCAAACTTGGAAACAAAGCAAAGATATGCATTCTTATCACTTCTATTCAACACTGAACTGAAAGTTCCTGCCAGTATAAGAAAAATAACAAAAGGCACCCAGATTGGAAAAGCAGATATAAAACTGCCTTTATTTGAAGATGACAGAATCTAGTATGTAGAAATCCTAACGATTTCATTTAAAAAAACCCAAACAACAAACTAAAAGTAATACACTTATCTAGAACGTTCACAAGATAATCAATATATAAAAATCAACTTTATTTCTGTACACCAGTAGCTCTCTAAAAATGAAATTAAAAAAACCTATTCAATAGCATCAAAAAACATAAAATAGATATAAATTTAACAAAGAAATGTAAGACCAGTAATGTAAAACTTATAAAATATTACTGAGAGAAATTAAAAAAAAAAGAGGGAAAAAAAAAAAAAAAAAACTAGAGAGACCTTGCATGCTGATGGATTGAAAGAGTCAATATTAAGATGGAAATTATCCCCAAATGATTCAACACAATGTCTGTCAAAGTCTCGGCAGTTTTTTGCAGAAATGACAAGTTGATACTAAATTTTTATGGAAATGCAAAAGAGCCAAATGGTCTAAAAACTTCTGAAAAAGGAGGACAAAGTTGCAGGCCTTCCACTACGTGGTATCAAAAGTTACCATCAAGCTACAGTAATTAAGAGTAGTGCTGGCATGAGGAAAGGCGTACTGATCAGCGGGACAGAACTGAGACTCGAGAAATAAACCCTCATATTTATGTTCAGTTGCTTTTCGACAAAGGTGCCAAGGCAACTGAAGGAGGGAGGTTGGCCTTTTCAATATATGGTGACAGGAAAAGAGTAAATTCAAACCCTTATCTCACCCTGTCCACAAAAATGAACTCTATATAGATACAGACTTAAACGAAAGAGCTTGTACTATAAAACAGGAAGAATAAAGAAAACCTTTGCACCTTGGGGTAAGCAAAGTGTTTTTCTGGCCAGCCAAGATTCAACGCAAGGGGACGTAGACCCTCCATCTTGGTGGGGAAGTGGCAAAGGGGCGGGATGGGAGATGCCCTACAACTCTGCCCCATCTGGCAGGGCCAGTACTGCCTGGTCACCAGTAAGTGGCCACTAACACTAATCTGCTTAGTCCTGTCATAGTTGCAATTTTGTATCTATGTGTGAACTTGAGATTCACAGCTCATTACAAAGTCCAGGAGGGCAGTTCAGTGTGCTGATCACATAGCAAGCACTCAGTAATTCTGTTTTTAAACTGAATGAATTAAGCCATCAGCATATCTGCTTGTAGGACCTACAGACAATTTTGAACATTTTCAGTTCCCCAAGTGAAATACTGAGTGGAATTCCATGTCCTGGCTTTTTCAAGACAATCTTGATTTTAAAAACCCTATCCCCATACGTTCATTTTTTTCCCTCACAGCTCACAGTGATCACAGTACATACATGCAGTATGTGGCTGCAACAGGGGACTTAAACATAGCAATGACCGGGAAGGCTGTGCAGGTCTGGGCAGGGTTTTGTTCTGTTGTACACAGGGTCGCCATGAATCAGTGGCAACTTGATGGCACCTAACAACAATGGAGGTAGGGACAGATTCCCTTTATATTGTCATATTCTTAACAATGTCAAGGTACCTGAGAGGGTTACAAACACTACCAATGGTTCAGAAACACAAAGCAGAAGCCAGCTACTAGCACTCTGCACTATGCCCTTCCTCTGAGCGTCCACCAGGCTTACGCTGGTCACTGGACTTCTCCTGCTGTACTGTAATCATGTGCCCGTGCCTCCTCCCCTGACATATCCCTCCAGAGAAAACCAAACCCACTCCACTGCCACTGCACCGATCCCAACTCACTGCGATCCTAGTGGGCAGAGAAGAACGGCCCCATAGGGTTTCTACGGCCGTTGACTTTTACAGACACAGGCTGCCTCGTCTTCCTCTTGTGGAGCAGCCGGTGGGTTCAAGCTGCCGATCTTTAACCACTGCGCCACAAGCCTCCTCCAGAGAAAGGGCTGTTTTCATCCATGGCTTTATGCCCGACCCCAAGCACAGGGTGTGGCACGGGGAAAACACTAGGGAGTTTGTACTGGACAACAACAAACTTGTGAGATGTTTTCTGTTTGACAAAAATGCTTAAGACTTGAAGCCCCAAAACCTGACTGGTGACTGAGTTCTTCCGCAGCTTACTAACTGTGTGACCTGAGCAGTGTTACTCACCCTCGCCGAAAACCCTCTGCCTTGTATATAAGGAAGGACTGATGCCTCGCAGTTCACAGGGACACTGTCAGGCCTACTTGAGAGAAGGCAGGTGCCGCTCTTCAACAGTAAGGTGCTAAACAAGTTACAGTTACTGATAACAATTATTCAGGGTTAAAATAAAGGAAGGCCCAGCGCACAGCTGGAGGCCTAAGGCCGGGTACTAACAGGGATGAGGAACTTCTTGATCTCTTCCAGGGCATGGCCCATCCGGGCGTAGGCCTCTGCTGGTGGGGCAAAGACTTCAATGAGGACGTGGAGGTCATCGTTGAGGTGGAAGTACTTTGCTTCTCCGCTTTTCCTCAACTCTTCTTCCTGAAGAAAAATCACATTTCAAGATGTGTCATTATGTGAAAACAGAAAGCAAATCCAAACTACCCAGGCTTATGTCACAGCACAGAGGACTCACTCAACATCAAACAAAACCCTGCGTGCGGAAGGATGTTAAAATATAAATCTGACCCTGCCATCTCCGAGCCCTGGTGGCACAATGGTTAAGCGCTCAGGTGCTCGCTGAGATCTGCGGTTCAAAGCCACCAGCCGCTCTGCGGAGAAAGATGCAGCCATCGGTTCTCATCAAGATGACAGCCATGGAATCCCTATGAGGCGGTTCTACTCTGTTCTGTAAAGCTGCCACGAGTCGGAATCAACTCGTCAGCAGTGGGTTTGGGTTTATACAGTATACATTCAACAAACAGGTGGAATAAGTGGCTAACATACTTTATTCATTTCTGTGTTTATTTGCTCATTTTTTAGTCATTCAATAAACATTTCCACATGCCAGGCACTGTAACTGAGAATAAAACAGTGAATAAAATAAAGATTGTATTACATGGTTTTACATGAGTTTGTATAGTTTTGACAAAGATTTTTAAAACTTTTCTTTTTTTACAGTTTACATAATGAAACTTAGGGGAAAATTAAAAGGAAAAAAAAGATCCAGATGGTTAAGAAACCACTGACTCTGTTGCATTATCTTTTCCCAACTAGCCTTCCCTTGGGCGGCAGTGACAGGCCCTAGTCCTACAATACAGGTCTCTAATTAGTCTGTTTCCCATGTCAGCATGAGACAGAGACAGACCCACATGAGCAGGAACCATCATGTGCCTTGATTTCCAGAAGGCAGAAGGACACCTTCCCACCTCCTTCAACTCCTCTCCCATGGAAAGGAAACGCCCCAATTCCTGGTGAGCATGCCTGTTATTCCACCATAAGCCAACAGCACAAAGACACAAATGCCTGACTATTATAAGTGTACACTGACATTTCATTTGAAAAATCAGTTTGGTGTTAACACATGAGTATTAATGCAGGACCACTGAGATGAACAAAACGGATAGCTTTACGAAATGTCTGGCAAACAGAGACTGTAGACATGGTGCCTAGTGCTGCCTAGCACCTGGGAGACACTGAGTAAATGCGAGCTTCCTTCATATTTAAGAAAGTGGGTCAGAAATGGAAAGGAAAGAAGAAAAAGCATTTCACGCAGGGAGAGAAAATAGGAGCTACCATAATACTCTGTAGGAGCTCTGGTGGTACCGTGAACTAGAAGGTCGATGGTTCAAACCCACCAACTGCTTTGCGGGAGGAAGATGGGTCTCATCTGACATTTTAAAAGAGTACAGGTGGTGTAATGCCTAAGACATCTGACTGCTAACCAGAAGGCTGGTGGTTTAAACCCACCAGCCACTCCTCAGAAGGAAGACCGGGCAATCTACTTCTGTAGAGATCTGCCTCAGAAACCCAAGGAGGGGTCGCTATGAATTGAAATCAACCCGACGGCAGCAGGCTTGGTTTGTTTACTATTCTTTTACACCAACTACAGACCACTGAGGAGCTCTGGTGGTATAGCGGTTAAAGTATTTGGCTTATAACCAAAAGTTTGTCAGTTCAAACCCATAGCTACTCCATGGGAGAAAAGACAAGGCAGTCTGCTTTTGTAAAGATGTACAGCCTTGGAAACCCTATGGGGCAGTGCTACGGTGTCCTCTAGGGTGACTGTGAGTTGGAATTGACTTGACGGCCATAGTATAGACCATTGTCCTAATCATTTAATCTGATACTGCCTTTCATAGCTGAATGAAGGTCTGAAAGCTGGATTCTACACGGCAGTTCATCTCGGAAAGCATGAACCAATGAAACAAACATTTTTAATCTCCTTCTAATATGGAAGCAAGATAATGATGTTAATGAGAGACCAGAAGTGTTGATCCACACACTAACAACCACACTTCTCCCACACACCTCCCTTGGGACGGGGAGGCTTTCTGGTCCAACCACAGCCGCTGCACAGTGAGTGAGCAGCCCCCAGATCGGGGACTATCCCCCGGGTGAATGACGACAGGTAGCGTGCTGCCAGGGAGGACGGCGGCCACGGCAGCTCTGCATGCAAGGCTCAAACCCAGCATTCACCGTGCGACTCCGGGCAGGCTCCTCTCCTCATGGAGAGACATCGGGGGATACAACGGGAATAAGGAATCCTCCCTCCAAGGGATCATGTTCAATGAGCGTATTCATAACAGAGTACCTGCCTCACAGGGTTGCTGTAATAACAAGGAAGTTCACACACAGCCACCTTCAGAATTACCCCTAGCTCACAGTAAGTGCTGAGGGCGGTAACGTAAGTACTGTTATGTACCCACAGAGGAATCAGTCTGTTGTTCTGTAATATCCATGAGGTGGGCTCACGTCTACCATAACGTTTGCCACAAACGGAAGGTCCAACAGATCATAAAATCACCATCATCACTAAGCTGTACAACCAGCTGATACATTCCAGTAATGGGTCCCACAATGGCTTCAACGCAGCAAATCTAAATCTAAAATGGGTTACCTTCACACTGGAACTTAGACAGCAATGCCAACAGGCAGATATTTTAATCCTATTAAATAAGGAGAATCTCTTTAGACATAAACATATTGAGAATTCCTTTAGACTAAAAGTAAACCAGTGAAAAGGACGAACTGAAATCACCATTACAGAACTCACACTTTTTTTTAATACATTGTTTCCTGCTTCAGTTTTCTGGTGAAGCCTCAGGAGAACCTCTGAAATGACGTTTACAACACCAGCATTTAAGAATGCATCCAGCGGATTCACCGCATTCTAAAGAATTAAAAGTTTCCCAATTAAAGAAAGCATGAACTAATGAAAAGATGAGGGACTGTGTGATTATTTATTTTTTTTAAATAACTAATACTTTAATGGGAGCTCTGGTGGTGTAGTCCCTAAGGCATTTGACTGCTAACCAAAAGGCTGGCAGTTCAAACCCACCAGCCACTTCTTGGAAGGAAGATTAGGCAATCTACTTCCGTAGTGATATCACCTCGGAAACCCAAGGAGGGAGTCGCTATGAGTCGGACCCGACTCGAAGGCAGTGAGTTTGGCTTTGGTTTCTGGTAATACTTTAATATGGTGATTTTACACAAACTGCCTTTAGTGTGGCCTCTACTAGAAAGAACGATAGGTCCAGAAATAGCCAGACACAACACTGACCGTGGCAGAGCCAGAGCATGTTCTTCTCTGCACTGGCCTGTGTTTTCCACGATGTCTGCAAGGAGCACTGGGGCAGGGACAGTGAGCTCTCTTGCTGGACCTGTGTCCCCACCTCCCTCGGGCATATCTTCCTGCACTGCAAATGCTGAGAGCTCCAAGTCACATTCTCAGCCTTCCTGGCAGGGGGAGGGTTCCGAGCATAACTGGGGTCAGCCAAGCAGATCCATGTGTGCAAGGCCTGGTCCTGTACTTCAGTCACGAGGACCGTGACTACCATCATGCCAGGGCTGACCTGAACAGTACAGAGTGGCTCCCAGGCCAGCAGATCTGGGGGCTATTTCCTGATCCTGGGCCACAGCAAAGGGCTGTGTCCCTGAAGTCAACAATTCCATGGCAGATCCTGATTTTGGCAAAGGAAGCAGCTTTCAGAGCCCATTATACAGCACTGTTCCGGAAGGCACTCCTAGAGAATCAGTCTAGGGCCTGACACCCTGGCCCTGGCAACCCTGGGATAAGTGTACATTTCCATGGATAAAGTTCCTCTCTGAGTAAAATAGCCAGAGTACACTAACCCCCAGCTGACGGACGATTCACCGTCAGCAGAGGATGCAGGAAACAGACCACCAGGGAAGGACATCCAGGATTGGTTATCTGCACATTAAGGAAGTGAGGACTGGACCACAATACAGCAGATGGGATACAAGTATATTCCACTGAGTATGCAAACTTCTTACTTAGACTGTCACCTGTGGTTACCTTCTGTGAAGTTCTTCTAAAAGAACAAGTGATGGACTATGTGGCAAAGTGGGGCTTAGGGGTTAAGAGGGGAATGCACCTGTGCCCCAGTCCACTGGTGGCCGGCTCTTTGGACTGCACGTTCACAATGCATGCTGTTCCCCCTGTGATGTGCTTGGACATCTGGATGAGGAGCCACTGCAGGATCCCCACACCGACTCTGACTATGGACTGGGGGTACACAAGTGAAAATGCCCATACGATCAAGGGCACAGAATCCAAAGGATTAGAGGACAGGTGACACGTGGTCTGGGCAAGAGGCCCCAGTATATAATAGTGGGTCCCGAGTAAATGCCAATGACGTGGCCAAGCAGACCACCCAGAGAAGATCAGATGGCCTCATTTACACCACCTCAGTGCTATACCCAACGGATTTAAGAGCAACACAATCCCTGTGACAGGGACACAGGGTACGTGTGACCCCACAAGGAGAATTCCCTCAACATGACTGACTGGTATTACCATTGCTAAGGGCCAAACGTGCCCACCACAGAGGACGGCCAGAGGACCCTGACATGCCAACAGAATATGGAAGGGCCTCGAAGCCCTGTGGCTAGCTGACACTTGAGGTCCACCTCACTATGGACAGTAAAGCACTTGCTGTCACTAGGACACACAACCTAGGTAAGAATTTGCCTTCCCTGCTTCCTTCCCCCCGTGAAACCATCAGTGGATGCTCTGATCACTGTCACTGAATGTCACAAGGCACTGCTGCTCTTTTAACAACAGATAACGTGAGTAGGACAATGGAGTCCTGCCCCTGGTTTCCACTAGCTGTATCATCCCCATCACCAGGCTTTGCAGAATGCTAGAACAGCTTCTGGAAAACTCAGTTAAGGTGTCAGCATAGCTGGAGGACTTTCCTACAAGACAGCAGCGTGCTTTCTAAGTGAGGGACCAGCAGTCCATGGTTCCACTTCCTCCTTTTGTCAGAGTACATGCGTCAGGAACCACAGTAACTCATTCAGTTGAGACTGATGCCCAGTGAGTGGTCTCACCCAGCTACACACTACGATCACTTTGAACACCTGCTAAAAATGCCTTTTGAGGTTCTCCCCAAAAATGGTTGGGGCATAAGAACCTGTACTTTTAAACAGCATCCCATGTGAGGCTGAAGCATGGCTGTGATTTCACTGCTGTGGTGGAAAACATGTGTGCTGGTATCAGGAAGTCATGGTCTTACTGTGTTCATCAAACAATATATGGAATTTCTCTTCATTAATTTGCAGGATATGCTCAAGTTCTCTGAATCTCTGTTTTCTTATGTGTAAAATAAGGAAAATATTTTGCATTTTCTACCAATTTTCAAGATGCAGTGCATACAACATGTCTTCCACAGTGGGTCACAGTGCCTGACCCACATGGCTCTTCAACAGACAAATGCTGGCTAGTACCTGGCCCACATGGCTGTGCAAGGAACAAATACTATTTTTATTATAAAAACTTATATGGACATTTTTTGTGAGCAGGCAGGATTGTGTTTAAATAGCATTTAGGAAACAATCATTCTTCAGCATTTCATGGTAAGTGACCAATGAATGTGGATCAGATTCTCAGTGACATAAAATGTCTTCCTTTCCAAATTGGCATATTTAAGAAAGTGATGAATAAAAGTTAACTTAGTGACTGTTCGTTTGTTGAAAAGGCAGTAAATGTGATTACATCCAAGTAGAGCCCTGGGCAATCATTAAAACCTTTAAGATCCATTCTGATAACTCAATGAAATGCATGTAATATGAAAGTAAAGGAAAGAAAGAGAGAATAGATAAATACATCATAACCTCAACTATGTGAAATAAATGCACACAATAACAACAGCAACACAAAGACCGGAAGGAAGGAATCCAAATGCACACAGTGATGGTGAGACCATGGATAAACTTTACTGCTCTTCACGACAGTTTCAATATTACCACGCCTTCTACAAGATTCAGAAATGTAAGTATTACTGTTTTATTTTTCTAATGAATATGACAGTTACAGATGTGAGCTTAAGATTCCAATTCTGAAATGACCACAATGACTCATTTTCTAAACAGTGTCACAAATACATCACCTTATCTTAACATTATGCTTTATACTATGTCAATATTATATACATACATATATACATATTTTTAATATTCCCATTTATATTAGCATTTTCACAATTTCATGTAAAATCCTAGTTAGCCTTTCGAAACTATGTATTAATACAGTGGATGATGTTGAAGTGCATAATACGGCTTGACTAGAAAGCAACCATTGTCTATAATGAGTATTACCTTTGCCTTGTCTCGCATGGAACCTTTTCCAAGAATGGACATTTTTGTCAAAGTTTCTTCCTGTAAACGCTTCAGAGAATTGCCACGTGGACCCAAAAGTTTCCCCACAAAGTTGAACTAGGAAAAACAAACAAACCACAACTTGTAGCATTCATATCTGAAAGTAATGGATGAATCTTGAGTGTCGTGGACACAGCAGTACACCACATCACTGATTACTAACAGATCTCTAAGATGCTGCGGTGTGAACCACATGGTGATGTGTTGCACAAACCATCTAACACAGGGCTCAAAACTATAAAATAACTTTTAAAATGATGTATTTCTTTATCCCAATCACTTCAGCAGTGGTCTGTTTTTAAAAATTGTGAACGAAGTTAGCTATCCCAACCACTTCAACACACATTAAGTATTAGCTGTGAACAAAGCTAGGGCTAGAATGAGGTGAGGGGAGAAAGGCATCAGATACGCTGTGAAGTGTCCTCTGGAGGACCTGGTTCTTCTCCCTGGCCAGGGCTTAAAGTCCGTTCTTCAGTCACCGAGAATACTTGACCTAGACACGTTCTTACACATTCAGGGGCTGACAACAGCTTTATGACAAAATCCAACGATCTCTTCCAAAATAACTAGCTTTGGGAATGTGGACATTTAACCTAGCTGCCTGGAGTTACTTATTTAACAAGCCAAGTAGGAGCGGTAAGGAAGGCCCCTGAGTCTAGACACCTGAGATTTAAAACCTGGCTCTTCCAACTACCAGCTGAGTGATGGGGGAAATTATCAAATCTCTATATACCTCAGTTTCCTCATCAATATCCGTAAGTCACTTAGAACAATGCTTGGCACATAATAGATACTCTCTGGTAGCATAGTGGCTAAGACACTTGCCTGCTAACCAGACGGCTGGCGGTTCAAACCCACCAGCCACTCCTCGGAAGGAAGGTTGGGCAATCCTACTTCCGTAGTGATAATGCCTCGGAAACCCAAGGAGGGGTCGCTATGAGTCGGGGCCGACTCGACGGCACATAACAACAACAACAACAACAACTATATCCTGAATGAAAAACTTAATAGAAACTTCATATAACTGTTTAATGTCTTACAGTAATTAAGGTAAATTGTGAATCCTTCATGGTCCCAGATACACAATCAGCTCTGTTTACCAGGACTGCTTTGCTGAGGCAAGATTCTGCCATTGCAAATTCATGCAGTTGCCACTTGGGTACCAGCTACCTTCCATGACCTAAGCCACTGCTGTGCTGCTATTTTTAAGAGAAAAATTATTCCTCAATTTATCTCACTACTGTAATTAAAGTGGTTCTCCTGGAAAATGAAGTTAGTACTCTGAAAAATCAAGATGATATTTTCCCTTGTCTACCTTTTAAAATATCTTCATTCAACCAAAACTCAAATATATAGTTTTAACCATTACATGTGTTTATTTTTTAATTTTTAAAATAAATTTTTAAATATAAAAGTGATACTTATATAAAAATTAAAAAGAAATTATTACTATGAAATGAAAAAAATAAATCCATCATCTGACCCATCCACACCTTATTCTTGCTCCTCAGAGCCAATCTACTTTCAAATCTTTTGTTTCTTCTAGTATTTACCCTAGTCCTCTTTTTCTCCCCAAAACAACACAATTATATTGGTATTTCTTTTCTTTTTTTTTTTTTTTAAAGTTTTAGATGTATTAACTTTTTACTACAGAAAACACAAGGTTTGATCTCTTCAACCTGTCTCTCTTTTCCCTAACCTACCATCTCTATTCTGGATGTGTCATAATTTGTTTTCAATTAATATCCACTCTATATAAGGAGCTCTGGTACCATAGTGGAAAAGGCATTTGGCTGCTAACCAGAAGGCCAGCAGTTCAAACCCACCAGCTGCTCCACTGAAAGAAGATGGGTGATCTACTTCCACACAGATTTACAATGCTGGAAACCCAATGGGGGTTGCTATGAGTCAGATTCAACACAATGGCAGTGAGTCTGGTTTTGGTTTATATCAGGATCATGTAAAAACTGTCCACAACTGAGCTGTCAGGTGTCCTCTGACAATTAGCCAACAGGCATTCTTGACTGATAGTCTGGCTGAGAAGAAAAGTCTAAATGGCAAATCACTTCTCTCTAAATGTTCACAGTGCCGAGTTTCTTCTAATTTCCAACATTGCTGTCGAGAAATAGAATGTGATTTTGACTTCTGGTTCTTGTTATATGGCCTGTATTTTCTTTTTTTTTTTTCTTTAAGAGTTTTACAATCTTTTGTTTACCCTAGTATTCTCATATTTCACAGAAAGAACATGAAGTTGGGCAAGGATCTTTCGCTGCTCATTGGGTAGACATTTTTAATCCCTCTGCTCTGAATTATTTATTTATATATTTAAATTACACATTTAAGTTATTACATAAAATATAAATCAATACAATATGTAAGATATATAATATAAATGATTTGTTGCAAAAGATCTGTTTCCAGTGCTCAAGAGCAAAGAAGTCTCCTTGAAGACTAACATGCGCCTAACCCAAGCCATTGTATTTTCAACCACTTCATATGCATGTGAGAGCTGGACAATGAATAAAGAAAAGTTGATACTCTTGAGTTGTGGTGTTGGCAAGAAATGCTCAAAGTACCGTGGACTGCTAAAAGAACTAACAAATCTGTCCTGGAAGAAGTGCAGCCAGAATGCTTCTTGGAAGTGAGAATGGCCAGAGTTCCTCTCACCTACTTTGGTCAGGTTGTCAGAAGGGACCATTCTCTGGAGAAGGATGTCATGCTAAGTAAAGTGGAAGGTCAACAAAATATGTGAAGACCCTCAACAAGATGGATTGACATGGTGGCTGCAATGATGGGCTCAGGTATAGTAGGGATTTTGAGGCTGGCACAGGACTGGGCAGTGTTTCATTCTGTTGTACATAAGGTCACCCACCATAAGTTGGAGATGACTCAACTGCACATAACAACAACAACAACAACAATATAAATGATTACACATGTAAAAACTTTTAACATATCACTGAGATTTCCTCTCTCCATGTTAGTTCCTCCATGTTCTTTTCCTAGGAATTCTATTATTTGGATATGGGTCATTTGGGCTGAATCTCCAGATTTCTCTTCAATTTCCCCTCTTTCATTCTCTTTGTTTTACTCCCTGGGATATTATCTGCATTTCCTAGAAATCTCCTCTTTCTTTTCTGCCCTTCAATGCTTAAATCCTAATTGCACCTTCTTATACTTGCTGCATTATGTTTTATTTTATGGAAGTAAGATCATTTCTTATCATTCTGAGCCAGTTGCCCCCTCTGTCGTGAAGCTTCTAAGCTTCTAAGCTATAGTATCTGCTTCTTCCAAAAGCCTTCCCCTTTGATCTCCATGTTTTGTGAGCTGTTCTCTGTCTTTATTGTGGGCTTTCTTCAGATGTCTGGTAATTCTCTACTACCCATTCATGAAAATATGTGAAGCTCCAAAACACTGGCTGTAAATTTTGTTTTCATACGAAAAGCACGTACACACTTGTTTAAAAAGGTAATTTCCTCACTGTCAGTGTGTCACCTCGCTTTAGCCCTCAATACACCTGTATCCTGGAGCCCAAGGCTTCTCATTCAACCCCTTCATGTTGCTGCAGTGAGGAGGAGAGGCAGCTGATGGTCTAGCTACTTCTCCTCTTCCATTGCACCCTATAAATCCACTGTCACGATAATTGGTGTCTACAAACCCTGAGCCTTCTCCTGGTTTTTCCACACTAATGAGAATGTTTCCAGTTGGCTTCCTCTTCCCCAAAAGCTCAGGGGAAGCTTTCTCTGGTCTCCTAAATCATGACCATTTATCAATTTTTTGTGCAGCTACCAAAGTTCCACTGACTGCAACTGTGTGTTGCCTCCCCCTCCCATTGTTATCTTCATGGATTTGTGGATTTTTCTTTATTCCTTTACATTCATTTTAGTCGAGCTGCAAGGATGGAACAAAAATAAAAGCATGTAGTCAATTAGCTGTACTTACACTCCATTTTTAATATTCAAATATTTCCCAATTGATAACAACTAGGAAGAGATTTTAGTAATCATACCGTCCAAGGATCTAATTTTATACTGAAGCCCGAAGAGTAATAAATGTTCGCTCAAGGTTACTTGAATAAATACTATCTAAAAGCATGGGATTCTATGTAAGAAAGAAAAGTATTTCATATGATCGTATATGACTTTAGGTATTTTTTCCTCATTTAACTTCTACTAGTCACTTACTTACAGGAAAAAAAAAAAGAATATCAATGTATACTTTTACAATAAGAAATACTTATTCTCTTACTTGTTTTCCTTCACTCTGTTCAGTCCTATGTCCTTTCTTAGTTCTAGTTCCCTAGCCAAGTTAACCCTCACTAAGAAAATGCATAAAATCACCTACCAGAGTAGCTAGTAGACTATACACAGAATGCTAAACTGGTAGTAATAAATTGGTACGTTTAACTACTGTGGACCTATATAATTGTATCTGACCAACAAGCTACCTTTGCTGAGAAGTGACTCGTCTTCACCTACGAGGCTACCAAGGGAGACATCACGCTGAGAAAACACGGTCATGCCCTGGCCTCCAGGTGAGTCAAGGGAGTTGACCCTGTCTGCAAGTCAAGGGAGTCTGAGGTTTAGAACACTTAGTTCTAACTGTGTGGATGCTGACTGAGAGTCCTCAGAGCTGACTCAGAGCAGTAGCAATGGGCTTGGTCCACTCTCCACTGCATACTGCATCACCTCCCCAGGGGGCATGTGGGAATATTTAGCATGTTTATTTGGTTGCCCCAATGACTGGGGGTTACTACTGGCATTTAAGGGGCTAAGCCCTAGAAAGCCGGTGTTAAGAAATGGATGACTGCTGTGCACAATGAAGAAGAGTTCTGGGTGAAACACCAATTTTAACTCTGCCCTGAATCCCTGCCAGAGAAGAACCGTAGACTTCAGTATTTCCTTTTTCTTAGACGAGAACTGTGTTACCACCCAATTCTCAGTTTACAAGTATAATTTGTCCACAGAGCCTATAAAACAAAACAAAACAAAAAAAATTAACACCAACAAAATCCTGAACCTGTTGTGCAGTCCATTCTGAGTCATGGCAACGCTATG